TCTCTCTCTCAAATAAATAAATAAAATCTTTAAAAAAAAAAAAAAGAAAAAAGAAATGTGACTAGTCTGAATTGAAATGCCCTATAATTCTAAAATGCACTGGATTTCAAAGACTGGCTATGAAAAATTAATATAGAATGTCTGAAATGATTTCTTAGACTAATGGCTTGTTAAAATGATAATATTTTTAGATATTGGGCTAAATGAAATATATTATTAAGGTGAACTTCACCTGTTTATCTTTGCTCTTCTCATGTGGCTATTCGAAAATTTGAAATTACAAATGTGGTTCACATTTGTGGCTGACTTTATATTTGTGTTGGACAGTGCTGTCTTTTGGACAGATTCTATAGTCCTTTATGTTCTGAAGAATGCTACGGTGCAGGGGGCATTTTGGTTCCATGAATTTGGGACTGGCAGAAACATGGCTACCATGTATAAAATTGTTTCTCTGCGAGAGTATGTTCTGAATGCAGACACTTGAATAGAAACAAATCCACAGGATCGTATGTTTTCACTCATATGTGGAATATAAGAAACAGCTCAGAGAATCATAGGGGAAGGGAGGGAAAACTGAATGGGAAGAAATCAGAGAGGGAGACAAACCATGAGAGACTCTTGACTCTGGGAAACAAACAGGGTTGCGGAAAGGGAGATGGGTGGGGGGATGGGGTAATGAGGGGTTGGGTGTTGAGGGCACGTGATATGATAAGCACCGGGGTTATACGCAACTGATGAATCATTGAACACTACATCTGAAAATAATGATGTACCATATATTGGCTAATTGAATTTAAATAAAAAAATTAAAAAAAAATAAACATCCACAGAGCACAAACCACTGGCAACTCAGGGACTGTGTGTATCATTGACTAGAGAGGAGATTGTCTATTTGACTATCAGCAAATAACTGTCTTTGTCTTGCCTGATATGGATTGCCTGGGCCATCTTTCGAAGCATGTCCTTTTCTGTTTTCCAGGGCAGTGCCTATTGTCAAAACTCAAATTGTATTTTTCCTTATGTTGTCACCTAGATACGGGACGACAATAAAAGACAACACCCCTGTCTTGTGGAGTTTTCAAAGCTGCCTGAAACTGAGAAGAATTATAACCTACAAATGTCAACTGAAACCTTAAAGTAAGTGTTTAATTGAATTGAATGTGGACTAAACCGTGAGCAGGTGATTTAATGCCTCATAACCATATTGCGAAGGTATGTCTCTTGCCTTGAAAACATGATGCATTCTGATAAACGAGCGGAAATGGTGATTATTCATGCCACAGGAGGATTTAGCATAGTAAGGAACACGTCCACCATTGTTATTGATCAACTCAGATGCAGGTGAGGGTTCTTGCTGCCCTGCATCAAGCAGACCCTTGTCCTCTCCCTCTGTTACATTATAGAACCCTCCTGGCCCTGGGGTGCCACATTGCTCATGTGAATCCAGCTGCTGAGGAGGATCTCAAGAAGGTCAAATTGCCCAAAAAGTAAGTGATTTTTTTTTAATGACCGAAGACTTGCATGCTTCAGTCTGAATTTTTTAACTGGGCGGATGGGAGGCCCATGCGCAAAGGCAGGTGATGGCCGCAGAGGCTTGCTAGCACCCGTTGAGGACGCCTCTTCCAGTTTTTCGACTGCACTGTAAATTCCAGGCAGAAGTCTGCCAAAGTACAAGTGTTTCCAGGCTTTCCCTCTTTTCCCTCCTTCGACGAGAACCTACATCGCTATCGTTAGTTCTAAGCCTGGAGATGTGGCTCTCAGAGGGGCACACAGCCTTTGGCCTGTAAGAACACCAGTTGGCCACAGGGGCTTGGGAATGGTTGGTAGCCACAGCAAAGATTCACTCCTCTGGCATTGGGCCAGCCTGGTAAGTCCTTTGTGGAAACGGTGGTCTCTGCCAAGATTGAATTCGGCCCCTAAATCTGCCTGTGTCCTACTCTCCCTCTCACTTGTACAATCACAGAGAGGCACCCGTTCTTACACACTCGGACGTGGGCTCCCTGGCACCTCCACTGGCTCGCTCACTTGCTCGCCCTCCTTGCACACGCAGGTGTCATAATTACTTCTGAGCCACGGTGGCACCAGCTTTAATCAAATATTTCTCTTCCCCTTCTTCCCTGTGACACTCCCAAGCTGCCAGGTGCCACTCACAGAGGCAACTCCAGATGCTGAGAGCAGCACATCTGTGAGGCAGAAGCTGGAGGGGTAGCTTGCTGATCAGGCTGCTGGGGTCAGTGCTCAACAGTCAGCCCATGTTGACTCTGCCCAGGATCCGGCATCCCACGAAGGTGGATGATGGGCAGTATTTAATGCCTGTAGCAGCCCCTGCATCTTATGCTGCTCGGCAGTTCCTACGTAGACACAGCCCTGGTCTACGAGTCAGCAACATTCGAGTTCTGGCTCTGATGTGAGCACGCAGTGGCCCCAGGGCCATGGGTGCCTCCAGACTCCCGTTCCCACATAGCGACGATCAGCTACTTTCCTGCGAGTCCCTCTGCAGCGTGCCCCGGCCCTCTCCATTCATGCAGTATATCTACCTGGGCTCATACTCAGCCTTCTCCCATCTTCACATGAGCTATCAAATTACCTACCAAATTACAGACATTTGAGGCTGTGGTTCCTGGATTGAAGAGCATACCATGAAGGTCACTCCAGCTCACAAATCCTTGGAGGTCATGATTTTCTTTCTTAAGTCCCAAAGTAAAGGTTTAACTTTCTGAGATTGAGTAATCATTCTCCACTGATTTATAAGAAGTCTTTTGGCTCAAGGTCTTGTCCTTGCCAATCTGGTTGTAACCTTTGCTGTTGTGGGAGTTGAAGGGGCTGTACGTAACACTGCAGCACACTGAATGTGCCCCCTCGTTGGTCAGGCACACCAGTAGGTTTCTTCGAAATGAGGCTGAATTGCTCTGATCATCCACTTTCTGCAACAGTCTGTAGAATCTGTGACACACATTGGCAAAAAGGATGGCGTATGAGGGCTTCATCTAAGGACTTGAAAGAGAGCTGAGCTATCCATTCTGCCAAAGGGTAGAACCTGAGACCGTAGCCTTATTTTCATGGTGTTCTTACCCTGTGCTAAGATCTGGAATGGGGGAGTCATCGAGATCTGTTCAAAAAATATATACTTTTTTACTTGTAGCTATATGATGTCCAATGGCTACAAGCCAGCCCCTTTGGATCTGTCTGATGTGAAGCTGTTACCTCCTCAAGAAATTTTAGTGGATAAGCTTGCAGAAAATGCACATAACGTTTGGGCCAAAGACAGAATAAAACAAGGATGGACCTATGGCATCCAACAGGTGAGAAGTGCTGGGTCAAGCCTGCTGCGAAAGCTAGGAGATGTGGTCATCCATCAAAATGCCATTTTGCTTTGGTGGGTATTAGATTGGAAGATGGAAGGTGCCCCTTGCACTATATCCCTCATGCCTCAGCACACTCATCATTTATAGAATCAGGGGACTGGATGGAATTTGTAATGGTCACATTGACATTAACTCTAGGCATAATTCCAATTTTGCAGAAATGGATAGGCTTACCTTTCCCTTGTTAGTCTGGTTCACTTACGATCGTGTTCCCTTGTATGTGCCCACTGGCCGCATCTTCCCTCATTCCCTGTCTTGCTGTTTGCCTCCTGGAGACCTGAGCTTTCATGCCACTCTGCAAGGCCAGGGTAAGCCTTCCACAAATCAGCATTATAGGTCAGTGTTTCTGGGACGGTCCCAGGTATCTACCACTGAAGGTGGAAAGGAGGGGAAGGAGAGCGGCAAACCAGCCCGCCAAGAAGCCTGTGCCCCTTACTTAAGCCCATTGGGCCAGGACTCCTGGGCAGACTTCTTGGCTTACACAGCAGACAGCCTAAGAACCAGGGACCAGCATAGAATTAGGTGGAGCTTAGAGCCAAACCATCTCTCCTTAAAGTAATCCCTCATCTCTTTAAGTACCCAGATTGCTATCAGGGAAGTTCAGGGGTAGTTGTGTGTACACATGTTTGTTCATGCCTGAGCCTCTAGCTCTGCACATGTCTGGAAACCAAGAAGACCGCAACTATGGAAATCATGGTGGAGAGGGGGAAAGGGAGCTCAAAACAGCATGTTGGGCATATTCGTTTATAGTGACTTATGACTGTAATCATTTCTATTGTCGTCTTAGTCCTCCCTAAGGAAATGAGGAGGACTCTAATACAAATGTGTGCCTACTACAATGAAATGGACTCCCCATGGCTCTGCCACCTTTTCTTTTTTTTTTTTTTTTAAAGATTTTATTTATTTATTTGACAGAGAGAGACACAGCGAGAGAGGGAACACAAGCAGGGGGAGTG